GCCCAGCAGAGGATGTACTTCCTGAGGCAGCTGAAGAAATTCAACCTGCCAACACGAACGATGATGCAATTCTACACTGCAATCATTGAGTCCATCTTCACCTCCTCCATCACCATGTGGTATGCTGGAGCAACCATCAGGGACAAACAGAGACTGCAGCATGTTGTGCGCTTTGCTGAGAAGGTGACTGGCTGCAGACTCCCATCTGTGCAGGACCTGTACACCTCCAGGACACTGGGGCGTGCAGCTCGAATCACAGCTGACCCTTCTCACCCTGTGCACAGTCTATTTGACCTGCTCCTCTCAGGCAGGAGGCTCCGGTCCATTCAGACCAAAACCTCTCGCCATAAGAACAGTTTCTTCCCCTCTGCTGTTGGACTCATGAACAATAACCATATGACTATACTGTGTTCTCTGCATCTGTTCCATTTTTGCACTGATCATCAACTGCATTCATGTATATATCTATCTGCTTAGCACTTTTAATTTTCATTTTTATGTTTATTTAACTGTTGTATTACAGTGTGTTTTGCACTAAGTACCGCAGCAATTTCCCAATGTTGTAAACCTGCTCAACATTTGGCAATAAAACCCTTTCTGATTTCTGAATCTCCAAAACAAATACAAACTCCAAAACACAACGAAAGTGAAACAAGGTAGTTGCAGTACGTGTTTTGAAGTTTGTACGTGCCCAGCATTATGGACCATGCTGGGCATCCTCTGCATCCTCTGCACACGGCCATAAACAACCAGAGGAGTCTGTTCAGTGAGAGGTTGCTTCTCCCAAAGTCAAGGACCAGCAGACTTAAAAAGTCCTTTGTCCAACACGCCATTAAACTGTTTAACTCCTGGCTGGAGGGGAGAGGGAGGGGAAACGGGGACAAAGGAGGGGGGAACAAGTAAGCTGTAGTGCCTTTTCACTGTGCAATAGTTTTTGTTAATATCTAACGGTGTAATAGACTCACAATACTTGAAATGTGCTGTTCCCTTGTATTCTTATTCCTATTTATCCCTTTTGTATACTCTGTATTTATATATGTGTATATATGGTATATTTCTGCTCATGTTCTGCAACTTATGTCGGTGCTGTGCTACTGGAAACTGAATTTCCTGGAGGAACCCACCCGAGGGATAAATAAAGTTTCATCTAATCTAATGTAATCTATAGGGCAGTACAGGGCTTTGTATCTACCACTCCGCTGTGACATAATGAGCGGTCACGGTCACGTGGCTTTCCGTTGCCCTGGAGGTCCACCCATTTGTAGTTAGGGCAACAGAAGATGCCTGGGACAGTTCACCCATAACTTTAAACTTTTCCTGCTCATACATGCTTGGAACGATCTTGTCACACTGAAGTGGACGCGCAACGAGATATCATAGAAAACACCCCAGTAGCTTTTGTAATAGCTTTAGCCCAGTCAGATTGGGCAGCAAAGGGCTGCTTAAATGCCGCAAACTCCTCTGCTCCGCCACTTGGATCGCTAGCTAGACCCACCACGCGCACCATACACATACTTTTTTTTTCTTTTTCGAAACTTCGGATCACGTGCGTATCGAACCGTGGAGTGGGATTGGTTCGGATTTCGGATCAACCGTGATCCGTTGCACCACTAGTGACCACAATGCACACGTCTAATGTTGCTCACAGTGGTTCAAGGGGCCGCTCAGGGAGTTTGTGTGTTCGCTCAGACACATGAAAAATTAGAGAGAACATTGACCGTATGTATTTATATATAAACATATATAAATTTACTAATTTTATAAAATTTTTATGTAAAAAATTTATATTGTTGTTGATAACAAATTAATTAAAGCAACAAAACAACCTGAAGAGCCGGTTGGGGGCCGGTTAGGAGCTGAAAGAGCCGGCTCTTTTTAGTGAGCCGAGCCGAAAGAGCCTGTTCTCTAAAAAGAGCCAGAATTCCCATCACTATTCACCATGCTGATGGTATTTTATGGCTGTCAAATGCTATTGTATGGTTTTTGGTAAATTCAGCTAAAGAAATGGAAAGGAAGTATTTGTTTTTGCAACTGGCTTCTAGTAACAAAGTAAAATTGCTTCTTTGGTAAGATTCTTGTTATGTGCAGATATCACAAGAAAGTCTGGCTCCTTGGAAGGAAAATATAAAAAAAACGAAAGGTGGCTCAAACTTGTGCTGTACACATCTTTATTCATCTATTTCTGGGTTCTAATTTTTTAAAAAACCTAAGTCCTGTTGATATACAAACCATTCAAAAGTACAAAAGGTGGACATTGTGATACCATGATATCTGAATGGAAGCGTGAATTTATCAGCTAATGTTAGCTAACTTAGCAATCTGCTTTCCTAACTAGGTGTAAGATGCAATGCAAAAACACACATATAAGCTAAGTAGTGCTATTTATTGACTAATAAAACACTACAACTTTACTTACCAAATCCAAAGCGTAAAGATGCAAATATGTCCACAGTGTTGGGAAGGTTACTTTTAAAGTGTATTCCACTGCAGATTACAGAATACAAAATGGCCCAAAATGTAGTTTGTAACGTATTCCATCACGTTACTCAATGTGACTAACGTATTCTGATTATTTCGATTACTTGATATATTGTCATGCTTTTTACAACTACATGAATGTACTATTGCTGCATGATTTATTACTATTAATGAAGGGTAGTCGCCACCAAGCTAACATTGTTAGCTGGCGTTAGTTGAGGTTAGTTCATAGACTGCAGACTGTTAGACTTGATGGATAGCATTAACAACCTGTTAGCTGCAAATAATCCTGTGCAGTTCTGAAAGCAATACCAACTACATTTTTAAATCTTAATATAAAATGAGTAAGATTAGGGTGGACATCAGAAAAGGCTGCACTTTTTGCAGCAATCTCGTATAGAAAACAATTTCTGTATCAGTAATGGTTTTTTTCTGTCTGCTTTCAGAAACTGCACATGATTATTTGTAGCTAGTAGGTTGTAATGTAGCCTTCATTAATAGTAATAAAACAAACATCAATAGTTCATCGAAGGTACTGTAGTGGCACACAACCCAGGTAGCTACCACAACTAAAACAAGGTAGTTGCAGTAGGCGAACTTTAGTTTTTAAAAAAGAACTCACTTCCAGATGTTTCTTTAGGTTGGAGTCTTTTGATGCTGAGAGCAGCTTGGTTGCTGGCAAACAGAGTTTACATTGCACGTCAGATTTCACCCATCCTGTTCTTCTTTAAATGTGAAGTGGTGTCAGAATTTCCAATGAAATGCATTCCTGCCCGTCCACTGCTGGCTCTGTTGTGCTGGCTCCGGGTCCATTGTGTAACTGACACCACCAATATTAACAGGATGCTTACATTAGCGCTTCTTATTCCGTGTTTTGTTTGGGTTTCCGGCAATGCGTGGAATTACCAAAATAGAGAAGGGATAGCCTAACATATGAAACAGGAAAAGACCACCCTGGAATCCATTTATTTCAACAAAGTAACTGTATTCTAATTATCACCTACTTAAGCGGTTACAGTTACTCATATTTTGTATTTTAAATATGTAATGCCGGTACATGTATTCCGTTACTCCCCAACACTGTATGTCTTTAACAACAAACAGTTGATTGCTTGCAGAGTGATTGCATAGGCAAAAACTTTACCCTCATATGCCAGTCAGAGGTATTCTTTACGCCCCTTGGTATCACCTCCATGAAACTACTAAGATATTTTTATCTTATTAGTAGCTAAATATCATTGAGATTTTATGTTCCCTGGTTGCTCCATTGCTGCTAGTTGTGTTTGGATGCCTAATAAGAATAAATAATTTAATTAATTAATCTTTAATTAGTTAACCAATGAACACACATGATCCTTTTCTGAAACACAGTATGACCAAAATTTACAAAATTACACATTTTTGTTGTGAATATGACTGAAAATGAGTGGCTGAGTCCATAAAGTCAGCAGGAAAGTATTTTCTGAGATGAGAAGACTTATCCATGGACTTATGGAAGCCTTTTTGCAAACACAGGGGACATTAAAAACACCACAGATTCAAGTCACTTCCTCACATGGCTCCACATTTAACATACCTGGAAGATACATCCATATTTTATACTGTAAGGGTGCCTAAAACTAGAACAGCTAACCATTTAGCTAACTTGCATCAGACCAGTCATAAGCAAACGTAATACTGTCCTCAAACTACAGAGCAGTCTGTAATCTCCACTCAAGACATTTTTAAAAATTCTTTAATTTCACTGATTGTTTTAAGCATCCATATCTGCAAGCACACATAATTAAAACTAATAGAGAAAACAGAACTCCAAACTCTGAGGCACTGAAAGAACCATCTAAATGTAGATGGCAACTTCATGATTCCTTACCCATAGTGTCATTTTTTAAAAGGTTTTTGTTATATTAAAAAAATGGAAACAGATTTTTTTAAAGGATCTTTGTTTTAAACATTTTTAATATTCAGTAGCTATTCGACTGTAATTGTAAATGTGTTGCTATGGGAACCAAGTTTACTCTCTGTTAACAACAGGAGAAAGAGAAAAATGTAATTTAATTAAGATATCCTGTTTAAATATATTTATTTAAACATGGAGGGGGAAAAAAATCCCAGACAAAAACGAGGGAACAACAGCTATGTATTTCCTTCTTTTCTCCCATGGTCTAACCTGTCTTCAGCGGTTGTAAGCTGACACCACAAACTTGCAGGCGTTTAAAAGTGACGGCCCCCTTTACATACTTTAGTGTACTCACATGTGGTGGACCTGAGGGCGCTGAACATCTGGTCGTGAGTGATGTGTGTACCAGAGGAAAAACACGTAAGAAGAAGACTGTGAATAAGAGACATCTGTGGAAGAATCCTACAGTTACTGTGAGCGTTGTGTAAGTATATTTTATATTCATGTGGAATTATTATTTTTATTATTATTATCATAGCTGTGGTCATAACAATTTATTTCAAGAAATAGAAAATGTATCAAAATTTACAATTTCAGAGTTGCTTGTGTATTTTACAACACCTACCACTACATGTATTTAACCATAACTTACCTTTTTTCTGTCAGAAGAAAACGTGTCTTTAAATGTCAGCTTTGTAAACTTATTTTCACATAAGCACTCACAGAAGTTACTAAACGAACAGACTGTTCTGAGAAGCTCATTGTTTGAACCAGTGGAAGATTGAAAAATGTATATCTTGGCGCCAGAATTTGATTTGATCGGGTTTTACTGGAGCAAGAGCACGTTTTATCGAAGGAGCATAAAGAGGTGCAGCAGGCGATAGACCTTCTCATCCTGTGTTGACATGGAGTTTATTTAGTCTAGAAGCACCGTAGGGTAGGTCGTGGAGTGAGAGCTGAAGCCTCTTCTTCATTCAGTAGTTTTACATTACCTCTTCTACTTTCCAACAAGTCAAATGAGACGGACTCAAAACTGATGGAGTAAGATGCTGCCAGCAGCGCTACTGCCGTCCAATATTTTATGGATAGTAATTTCAAATAGTTGCCACACAGAAAGCATCAGATTTTGTTGGAAGCTGAAGAGATTATTTCTACTTGTTTTAACCCCAAAGTAAACACCAAAGCTGTGCCTGCCATGTAGGAAAGGAATGTAGTTGTTTACCAGATGCTGCCAGGCTTTGATTTCATTTAATAGCAGAGCTGAGCCGAGGGTTGCAAGAATCCCATTCATAAATAACATCTTGTCTTACTAAGACACATTTAAATGAATGCTTTGGCTCAGGTCTGTAATAATTCAGGTAGTCAGGTGTGTAACTTTACTAGTTTTCCTCTAATAGCTCGTTTAGAAGTGAAGATTTAGGCTTTTATTTTGAAAACACATTAAAGGGTGTGAGATAACAGTGAAGCACATCTCTCTTTGGAAGCAATAAAGTTTGGGCAAAGTAAACAAGGTGTAAATCAGAGCTGCATGCACGGACCTGTGTGTTTGTTTATTTGGCACTGGTGTGTGTGTCTTACAGCCTTTACACGCAGCTCTGCAGGAATATAAAGGCTGCTAGTGTCTAAGAGCTGGGCCAGTGGTTGACCTCTGCCTTCCCTTCCCAGCAGAGCTCTCCTGTAGCAGAGGTGTGAATATTGCACCTGGATGTTTTCTTAGAGACAGAGGCTCCCGTCTGTCAATCTGTAATCCAGCATCAGACTAGGCAGTCTGTGCCCTCCACATATAGTTTGCCTCCGTCCCACATCTGCATGAAATGTTTAAAAATGATATTTTGCACTGTGTCTAGTCAGAGTGGTATTTTTACAAGTTTCCCACATTCATCTCACACAACCCAAGGCCAGACTTCAGTGCAGCTTTGCCTGACATCTTTTGTGAACATGCTACAAAGGAGCTTGCTGCCAAGAGAAGTCAGCTTTACTGCAAACTACACCTGAACTTGTAGTGCTTATCTGCAACGAGGAGCTACATGTACTTTGATAGATAAAACACAGGTGGTATCAAAAAGCCAGCTGCGATCCTGCCGATCTGGGTCCCTGACATCTATCTTCAGGTGTGCAATTACTTCACTATTCTACTAAAGGCAATAAATATTGGGAGTGGGTTTTCCCAGAGACAAGATTTTTATCAGTTATGTTAGAAGCACAGCTCAAAGGATGCCAATATCATCTTGTTTTTGTCTGGTGTGAAACAAGAGTAAATTATTATTATTATTATTATTATTAAATGGTAAATGGCCTGTATTTGTATAGCGCTTTTACTAGTCCCGCCTAGGGACCCCAAAGCGCTTTTACACGTCCAGTCATCCACCCATTCACTCTCACATTCACACACTGGTGGAGGCAAGCTACAGTTGTAGCCACAGCTGCCCTGGGGCAGACTGACAGAAGCGAGGCTGCCATATCGCGCCATCGGCCCTTCTGGCCATCACCAGTAGGCGGTAGGTGAAGTGTCTTGCCCAAGGATACAATGACCGAGACTGTCCGAGCTGGGGCTCGAACCGGCAACCTTCCGATTGAGCCACGATCGCCCCGTATTATTATTATTATTATTATTATTATTATTATTATTATTATTATTAAAAATCTAACAAGTTGTCTAAGCAACACACCGGTTTCCCTTGTTAGATGGCTACCACAGCATTTATGAGGGTCTCAGGATCACATACTGTATATAAAAGATTGACATGGCCAATGTGACGTTACCTACCTACTAGTTTACTGGTTTTGAACTCTGCATTTTGAAGCTTCAATGGTACTGAAGCATAAATGTGTGAACAAGCGGATGGTTTGGTAAATTCTTAAAATGCCAGCAATCTTTGTCATCAAGCTCAAACCATTTAGGTGCAACACACAGAAATACACATTTGTCTAATATTGGCAAATAGTTGAATAATAAAATCCTAGCTTCAGTCATCATAAGCACGAGTACAAACTTCTTGAATGGGCTGCAACACACAGCAGGCATATTTGTAAGGGAACAATGGGAACCAATCTCTCATTTGGCTCCTGTGTGACTGGTTTGAGTTGAGTTGTAAAAGTCTTTTTAAAAAATCACCCGCCCTACACTGGTTATGAAGAGCCACCGGGAGCAAAACTATTTTTTCTGTCAGGCTTTTAATCCTGTAAAACTGTCTACCTTTAATATACAGGCCTACTGTTAGCCTCAGATGGCCACCACATGAGCAGCAGTTTTTGGTATTTCGGCGTTGGCTTAATTTTGTTGCTGCTGTGTCGTGACTTGTAGACTATGCTCAGAGAACCCACACATAAGCATCAATGAGGCTTGTTTCCCGGTGCAGCTGAGGTTGCTGCAGGAATGTGTAGTAAAAAAGATTAAACTCGTCTCTGCTTTTAATTAATGGCAATATATCAGGTTCTGCATTGGGTCAAAGAACTACAAGAAGCATATCCTTATTCCAACTGTAATATTTCCACCCTCCGTGAAGTGTTTTGGCATTTGACAAACCTTAAAATTAATTGATTTTTTTGCCTATGCTGGACTGCTCAGATCTTATTTTACATCTCACCGGTAGCTTAGAAAAACACCCCCACCATCCAGAATGTTTTCTTGCCTTATTACTTTATAGTGAAACATTAAAGTCAGTCAACTGGCTCAAAGTAATCATATCTCTACTATATATCAGTCAGCACACCCACTGACCCACTGTACATGTTGTCATCTTAATTCTAGCTGATTAGCGAGAGCAAGCCTTTGCATGGTGCTGAGCTTTACGATCGTGACTGCTCTGGGAACAGGACAAATGAGCCATGCAGCAGCACCAGGAGACTGGCTCGGGGCTATGGCTGTACATCTTATTAAACACAAGCTGCCTGCAGTCAGTCAGTTTAATCCCTTTGATTAATGATTGTGTGGATTGTTTGGTTGTGAAAACAGAGTTTGCACATGAAAACCAGTGCCGCAGCTTTTGGAGAAGGTTTCAACATGTTTTGTTGTTTTTGTACATTCACTTTAAAGGACCTAATATTACCCTTGAAAAACCATTATATTTTAAATTATGTATTTGGCTTTAGATGTATTATAATCTAATTAGATGTAGATGCACCTTTACAACATTTAGCATATATAGGTATATGAGTTATTTTAACTGCTATTCATAGTTTTAATATGTCTGATCTATTTTAACTTTCTTCATGGGTAACAGATATAATTAAGGCCCGCAGTTAGAGGAGGGATAGTGTATATATAGGACAGAGGATGGTGAATATGACAGGAGGGAAAGAGAAAGAATAAGATTCATTGATGTAGTGAAAGAGGACATGCAGAGGGTTGGTGTGACAGAAGAGGAGTGAGATGGAACTCATCTGGTGATCCGTAAAGGGAGCAGAGGAAGTTAGGAGGTCAGCTGTGTGAATGTCATACCCTAATTTGAGACAACACTATTCTACACATTACTGATGAAGAGCAGGTGTGCTTGAAATTGTTTACTATTGAGATGCAATAAATGAATAAAAATTGGAGGACCAGAGTCATGTGCGGTCTTAAATGGTCTTCTTTTTAAATCCAGTTTCTCTGGACTAGTGGGATCCATCAAAGATCATTTGGTGCTGAAACATGGACAGTGAAGTTGGAGCAACGAAAGCCACTCTTGGCAGTCCCATCACCCCGAGGCAGTTGACTGGATTGGGGATGAATGGCTGTCTCTCACTAAGGTACAGACACTCTGGACCAGGCCTGGCCTGTCCCCAGGAGTACCACCAGTGGCTCCCCTACCGCCATGACGCTAGCCTTCTGCCCATGAAAGAAGACCTGGCCTTCTGGCTCAACACCATGATGGGTGAGACAACTTTTTATTTTGTAATAAACTGTATTGAATAATACTGTTTTTAGCCAATGATGATCAGATCTTGCAGACCTTAGAGGCCTACTAGGTTTTTATCCATTAAACATCTCAGTTATATATTTAGGCCCCAAGCTATTTAACAATTTCTAAACAATAACCAATACTTTTTATTCTGTATTTGATTGGAAGCCAAAACAAGTAGCTGAGGATTAGAGTAATATGCTCGTATTCCCTGTTTCTTGCAGCAGAATTCTTAACTAACTGTAATAAAAAGCATTGCAAAAAAATATTGCAGTGTTGCATTGCAGTAATCAACTGGATGATCCATAGAGAACCTTTAGATTTTGCTGGGACTCCGTCTAGCTATAATACTATATTTTTAAAACAAAACATGGCTACAAAATCCTGAATTTAGTTTGGATTTTTTTTCTAATCCACACAGTCACACCCCCAAAAAATGTTAAATGCAAGTTGCACCTCAATCAGCCATCAACAAGCTTCTGGCTTAATTCTGGTTCAATATTTGATATTTGGTCGATATTGCAAATGGGTGGCTGTAGCTCAGGTGGCAGAGCAGGTCAGCCACTAATCAGAAGGTCGGTGGTTCGATCACAGGCTGCCTCCTGGCTGCATGCCAAATATCCTTGGGCAAGATACTAACCCCATGTTTGCCTACTGGTGATGGTCAGAGGGCCCGGTGGCGCCTGTGTCCGGCAGCCTCGCCTCTGTCAGTGCGCCCCAGGGCAGCTGTGGCTACAATGTATCACCAGTGTGTGAATGTGTGTGTGAATGGGTGAATGACTGAATGTAGTGTAAAGCGCTTTGGGGTCCTTAAGGACTAGAAAAGCGCTATACAAATGCAGGCCATTTACCATTTACACAAATTTTCAATAAGACTGAGGTCTATTGATTTGAGGTGAAGTTGAAGAATTTGGAAGTCATCCTCCAGTCCTTGACAGCTGGTACAGTGTTCCAGAAGGTATTTGGCTTATCCAAATGTCAGACAAGCTTGAAGGCTTCAGTTCTGAGCAGATATTTCTTTCTTGGTCTTTGTTCTCTTAGTCCATTTCAATGTAAAACTTGCTTCACTGTTGAAAATAATTCTGGTGTTCCAGCAGTTCCCAGTTCATTGCAGGGTTGAAACTTGGTGTTCCTGAACATCCAAACTAATTTCCTTTTATCTGAAAGTGACAGTTTTGGCAGAGTGGTGACACATCTGAATAAATTGTACTTAAATGCATTGAAATGCAATAGTTTAGAAATGTCTCCAAGAGACCTTCCTATTATGTGTAAATCCATAATCTTTTTAGCTCTTCGCTGAGTTTCTTGGACTTTCCCATTGCTCTGAGTCAATCCAATAAGTGCTGTCAAACAAATCCTTTTATGCTGACAACAAGAAACGATTGACTACGGTTGGAGTCAATCATGATAGCAAGGTGTTACTAGATCTCGGTGTTGCCAAGTATTAAAAGATATTATTAACACTATTTACAAAGTGTGAATATATCAGTCATTATGTTTGGAATCAAGTACAGTTTTAAACAGACTGCACATCCTCATATTAAGTGTTGCAGTAGAGATGGAGATTATATTACGTAAATGTTTAGAATATATATAAATTGTATTAAATTATTATTCTCATTTCAAAGTCACAAAGTCATAATTGTAATGTGTAAACGCTGACGGGGTGTTTTTGGTTGTTTTTATATATTTTATCAAACTCATAAATAATCTTTGGCATTTAAAGGAAATTAGAATTCGAAGGTCAATACAGAAAAAAACAGATGTAATCATGTCATTATTATTTCAAACATTGGTTCACCCATGTACATTTTCACTCAGCTACAGTATAATCCAGAATTACTGATTTCATATTGGACTATTCTGAGTGTATCTCATTGTTAAAGAATCCTTCTTATGAAAACAAATGGATAAGATCGTCTTGGAAAAACCAATAGAGGAACATATTTGATCGACTTCTAAGATCTTTTTTTTGAGTAAAGCAAAATGCTAAAAGCAAACAATCCTGAGTTACAGTTGTGAAATTTCTGTGTGTCATGTGTGAATTCTGCCCAGGAGTGGACCTCACAGCAGATAATCTGATGGAGAGTTTGGATAATGGCGTTCTGCTCTGTGAGCTGGCTCAGCTGCTGCAGGACAAGATGATACACAACAACAATGGCAAGGTGATGTGACAACACAAAGTAATGTGCACAATTATTTGCACACCAAACGAAAAAGAAGATAAGACTAATGCAAAAACACGTAATGTGAGTCATTTTAATAACAACAAAATAAAAACAAAACAAATGAAATCTAACTTATGAACAGCCAGAGTTCAGGTAGAAACTAGGTCAGGTCACGTTGGCAGTGATGATGTCTGGCATTTCATTCAGTGCTTGTCTATGTCTGTTATGTCTATTCATGTTTTCTTTCAGTAAGCCTCTCCTTACTACAGTCTTGTTTTGTAAAGATCTTATCCCTGATATGCCCTCCTTGTACACGAAATGCTGGCATAATGCAAGTGGAGAGGAAGTTGTCTCTTCCACTCAGTGTGTTTATGCTCAAACTCACTAAAGAAGGCTTTTCTATTGTTGATCATTGGACAGGATCCATTGTGTACCCTGAAACACTGATCTGAGATAAAGCCAGTCAGTATGCTTCTTAGAAATGAGAGCTTATGTTTCCACTGCTTCTCTGTGAATGTGCTTGTTAAAAACAATCAATCACAGGTCTTCACAAGAAGAGTGATCCACTGGCGAGCTGATGCAACTTCTGGATCATTTTTCGCCAGGGACAACACGGCCAACTTCCTCTACTGGTGTCGAAAGATTGGTGTTGATGAGGCTTACCTTTTTGAGTCTGAGGATTTGGGTGAGTTAGGACCGGAGATTGAATTTTACCTAATGGAGCAGAGAAATTCAGACCTTTGTTTCTTTTAACAATACAAGGCTCAAGTGAATCATGCCTCACAGCACTTACAGCACATTACTGATTAACATGAACATGTTATATCTCAACATGGTGTGCAGTGTGTTCTTAAAGAAACTGGACAATTGGAGAACAAAAGAAGAAGCGGTAGGCCTAAAAAAACAAAACTGTACAGCAGATGAACAGTATCTGAAAGTCATGTCCTGACCTTGACCTGACGCAGGACCTAAGAGATACATCTGGACCTTTAGTTCCATCTACTGTTCACTGAAGTCATTCTTAAGAAAGGGAAACAGAAGGAAAAGGCGGATGCATGCCAAATTACACAAGAACTGGACTGAAAATCAAGTGTAACAGGTCCTACGGAGTAACAAATCCAAATTTGAAATATTTAGCATTTGAGAGAGAGTTACGACACTGAGGCACGATGGAGGCCCAGTGATACTTTGAGGCTTCATTTTAGCCAGCCGTGTCAGAGATCTTGTCAAAATTGATAGAATTATAACCACAAAAAAGTCAAATCATCCATCCACTATGCACTGAAAAGGTGTCTGACTGGCAATGGCTTCATTTTTCAGAATGATAGTGATCCAAAACACACTGCCAGTGCAGTAAAAGCATACCTCAATAGAGGTGCACACAGTGGAACACTGTCAGCCACAGACTGGCCTCCTCAGAGCCCAGACGTCAACATTATTGAAGCAGCATTTGATCATCTTGACAGAGAACTGAACAAAAGGCTTCTATCATCCAAAGAAGAGCTTTGAATTTCCTTCAAGAAGCCAGGAGAACTATTCATGAAGACTACCTAAAGAAATTACAAGAAAGCTTGCTTGAGAGAGTTCAGGCTGTATTGAAGTGGTCATACCAAATATTGACTTTCAAACAAGTCCAACTCCTTTTTTTGCCTTATATACTGTGTTGCCATGTATGTTTTCCCATGAAAGGTGACTATAAACATTTGCACAATACTATAGTAACAGTTGCAAAACTACTACCAATTGTTTCAAATTACACATTAACAGTCCAGTGAGTCGGTGATAAAATGTTTGTGACTCAGAAAAAGTGAAGTATACATATCTCACATCTCACTCCAGTCAAGTCCAATTGAAGTACCAGTTTTAATCAAGTTAAATGCAGTAAGTAAGTCTAAGAACGAACATTTTGCACATCTTAGATGGGCATGTCTCTGCAAGGTGGCAGATGCGTAGGACTGATAATGTACAGGCTAATCCGCACCAGCAACAATGAGTCTCCCCTGCAGGCAAAGTTACCCACTTCACTTGATTAATTGAGGGAAGTGGGAAAATACAGTTACCACAGTTTGACAGACTTAAGTTTACTTCATCAGTGACACAAAGGGGGGATGATATAAACTTCTTTCTTTTGTCAAAACAGATGAGTCAATAGAAACGCAGCTGTTTGCTGATTGTATAACTTTTTTTTTTGCCACAAAAGAAAACGCTGGAGAAAATGAGATCTTCGGACACAAAAACGTGTCACATCGACAAAAAAAAAAAAAAAAAAAAAATTTTCTGACACAAACTGAGTGTAGAGCCATTTTTAAATAAACCATAATGGACTGAAGTGGCGTACTTGTTGATGACTTCATGCCTTCATGCCCTCAGCAGCACATCCAGGGCCCTGAGGAATTCCGGGTTCAAAGAGAGAGATGCACAATAGAGACAGAATACCTCCTGAAACATATCCTCTATGTTCAGGCTGCTGGCCCCGCTTTTTTTTCTTTCTTTTTTTTTTACAAAAACAGAAGCTTATCTCTGGAAAGATCTTTCCTTTCAGATAAGTGACCTTTTTTTTATTCGTACCCCTGTATCCTCTTTGTCTGTACGTCACGCATGTGCTGCCTGAAGTCCTCCACAAGCAGCCTCGGGAGGTGTGCCTGTGTCTGATGGAGCTGGGACGGATTGCAGCCAGGTAACTAGGAATAACCAACTGTCCATCCACAGAGCAGCTCCAAAAATAAAACCGTGATTGCATTACACTTAAATGAAATATATTATTTTTATATCATTGTTTTCATTCTACTGCCAATAGCTGCATGTTTTCCTGTTTTATTGTAAACTGGAGAACCAGTTTTCACAAAATCTATCATTTTACTTTGGTATTTAGTTTTCTTTTCTATATTTAATTTTCTTGTCATCTCATTTTCTGTTTATCCTTTGATTTTCACTGCTATAGCAACTCCTTATTCATTTCTTTTCACCTCTTAAGTTTTCATTTCTAGCTGCATTAGGTGCTCACTTTAAAAAAAACTAAGTGATAACTGCTGAAGTATCTCCAAGGGTTTAAGCACCTTGATGTGAAAACCACTATGTTTTCTCTCCTGTGTTGATTTGTTTGTGCAAATGCAAATTTTTTTGTTAAATTTCACTTTCAGGTACGGCGTGGAGCCACCGGGGTTGGTTAAGTTGGAGAGCGAGATGCAGAGGGAGGAGGCAGAGAGCTTATCTCCATCATCCCCTCTTTTCATTTTTCCTCCTCTCTCATTGTATTCACCATCCCAGCCATCCCTACCACCTGCCCCTTCTCCCCCTCTCCCTGCACCCGCTCCCCTCACTCCAAGGGCAACCAGTCCATCTGAACCCCTCGCTGCTTCGCTTGCCTCTGATCTTCCATCAGCCACAACAAACCCAGTAACTATGTTTTCATCCCCTCCTCAGTCCTCACTCTCATCCTGTACTCCTTATACAGCCACAGTCTCGACACAAACACCTTTGTTCCCTTCATCCTGCACCACTAACACATCTGCCTCAACTCCGCTGTCAGCGCCTTCACCCGGCCAAACCCTGGAATCCACCACCAAAGTCTGCCTTACCGCAATAAACGCCCGCCGTCCGACAGCTACACCTCCCACTAACTCCCCACCTGCAGCCTTGACTCCTCGCTCATCAAACAAGTCAACCATCAGGAGGAGCTCCTGCAACAGCATTTTGGATGACTTTGTGCGTATTTTGTTTCCAGTGAAATGAATCTCAGTGGTACACTGTTTAAAATACACTCGTTTTGAGTTTGTTTTCTCTGTGGAATCTGTAACAGGTAAGAAACATTACTGAAAATCCACCCTGCAGTTGTCCCATCACTTTCCTGGTTGAGAAACAACCAAAGGGCTGTTACCGTGTTGGGGACAAAGTTCTTTATATACGAGTAAGTATGTTTCCGTTATCCCTTTCTCCTAAAAATTACTTGTATTTTGATACATTCATGCAGTAACTTTGAGATCCTCCATACAACTCTTTAGATAATTTTGCCAACATAATAGAAGCAGTAAATACACTCTCTGACCCTTTGTCTGTACACTTTGGCAGTACTGAGTTGGACCCCCTTTAGCCTCCACAGTTATATTAATTATTCATGATACAGATTTAACAAGGTGCTGGAAACATTCCTCAAAAAGTGTGGTCCAAATTGACATGATAGCTTCATGCAGTTGCTGCACATTTATCAGATCCATGATATGAATCTCCTGTTCCACGACATCTCAATGGATTGAGATCCAGTGGCTATGGAGGCCATTTGAGGACAGTGGTTTTTGGTGACCTTGTGCAAATTATAGCTGCAATTTCCTGTTCTTGGCTGACCACATAGCAGTGCCGTGGTACCCTATGTAGTTTTCCACTTCTGTGCCTCATCTGCTTCAAGGTTCATTGTGTTGCTTGTTCAGAGATGCTCTTCCACATACCTTGGTTGTAACAAGTGACTGTTTGAGTTACTGCTGCATTCCTTTCAGGTCAAAGTCGGGTCATTCTCCTCTGACCTCTAACATTAACAAGACTTCTCTGACTTTCACCCAGAGAACTGCTGGTCTCTGAATATTTTGTCTTCTCTGTAAAGACTGTGTGGGAACATTCTAGTAAATCAACAGTTCCTGAAACACCCAGAGCACCCAGTCTAGCACCAACAACAACACCACCTTCAAAATCACTTAAATCACCTTTCTATCTCATTCTGCTGCTCAGTGTGAACTCAGTAGGCTGTCTTGACCAAGTCTACATTCCTAAATACACTGAGTTTCTGCCATTTGATTGGCTGATATGTATTAGTGAGCAGGTGAATAGCTGGACCTAATGAAGTGGCTGGTAAGGGTATAAAAACATAATAAACAAATAAGTAGTATGTAAATATATATTTTTAATAGAAGTTTGGTTTACATTGCATTAGTTTGATGACAATGCTTTTAACTTGTTTTTTTAAAATAAAATATTAAAGTATGTTCACTAATAGGACAGGAGGCTTTGTGATACCAAAAGACAAATAATAAACCACACCTAATGTGAGCATTTGTCACCGATAACACATAATCACATATGAGGTGTGAATGTTTAATCAAGAGTTGAGTCAGCAACAAGTGCAATGTGTCAGAGGGACTGATTTGCATCACTTGGGATGGAGACCCTGATGTCTTTCAGCCTCCCTGAAACATCCTCCATCTGTATGCATGTGTTTTGAAGGCTCAAGGATGGGGAGGCAGGGTTGCTTGGCAACCAGTGGTCAGGATACGAATGGGCTCACAATGATTGTATTCAGTACATAGACCTTCAGTGAAGAGTTCAAACCTGGAAGAAAAATAAACATGTTTCTTTCAGGGTGATTCTGCAAAGATATGACCCTGGTGTGCATTTTAAATGGCAGCCCACTCGGGAGTGCATGTATGTGGGTACGGTTTTGAATACAAAGATGTACTTCAGTGTCTTTTATACATCCCTCCATCTATAAAAACTAATAATGTGACCTTGATGCTTGCTGTATGTTCTGAGTACACGATATATCATTTTAACATAAAAATAATCACTGGGAATCTAAAAGGTGAAATCTTGATAAGGTTTCTCACAGGTTGGATCACAGTGTTTGTTCAGGAGATGAAATTTATTAGATGCATAAGTTCTGTTGCAACAGCTACATTATGACATTAGTGTCAGATTGCACATTTCTTACTTCCTATTTAGAGAATCATATCTGCCATATCATAACAGATATAACATATGTTGGAACACCACTTCTTAGAAACCTGAGGAAGTACAGATGCATGATAGCCAAATCATGGGCTGGCTAAATGCATACGCATAAGCAAGATTAAAGCTTTTCTGTGCTATCAAAACTGCCTTGTGTGCTCACATTCTTTATGCAGTCTTTCAGATATAACGTCTGTCCTTGAACCTGCATCACGTCTTCATCCCTAATTATTAGTTTGTAGATAAATTGCACTGCTTCATTTTTTCCCGGTTGCTGAAAAGCAGACAAACATGAGCTGTTTGAACAGAGTGATCAGTAAGCCATCCATTACCTTGAAACCCACCGCTGTCTACACGTGAGTGGGGAAACACACCATAAACCTCAATTTCCATATACCGTGATAACCCCCGTGCCGCTCCTAGGGGAGTGTCCCCTTCAGTGTGTACAGACCTTTTTAAAGAGCAGATACTATTGATTACAAAGACAAAGTCATTAGCGATGGGTTTAATCAGACAGCTTGTTAATGAGCGGCTGAGCATGACCGCCCCTCCTCACGTGTAAACTTTCTACCCCGCCTCTCTCTCCCCTTCGCTCTCTATTCCCTTTGGACTCTATTCAATCACACTGGCCCTGGAGTGCTTTGCTATTCTTTGGTGTTAAAAAAGAGGAAGGCTTCTCTTTCTTCTCTCTGCCCAATTAGGCTCTCGTTCAGCTTTGTAGCAGAGACCCCGTCTGGCTGTGCTGATGGAAGGAAAAGAGATTTAAAGCCCCTCACAATATTAAGACACATCATGCTAATATAGTGATGAACCTAAAAAGCACTCTTTTTTTTTCATGATCACATATAGCTGATTAAAATCGTTTTCATAGAAACACTTCATCATCTTCCTTTCTTAAGTGCTCTCGAGAAAGACGTTGACTCAACAGAAGCCGTGTGATCTTTGTTCTATAGCCGACCTTTGACATAACAGTGGAACGTGAAGAAATGATGAACAAGGAATGTGTGAAATATTTATGAAACCTGTACTCAGACCAAATCTACTGCCTTTGTTGTCATCGTTTTACCTGTTAGTAAGCTCAGATTTAGTAAACATTACAATGTAGCTGAGGCTTATGTGAGCGACGTTAGCTTTGTAGAGGTAAATTTAAGATTATGCAAATCTTCATCACCACAACTGTCCTCCAAATCATGAACATGTGTCCAATCTGATGAACATCTTTACTGTAGTGGATTTGGGGATAACTAAAGTCACTAAGCTTTATCTTCTGGCGAATGAGGAGTTATTTTTAGCAAGATATCTCAATTTGACCTTTTAGTGCCATTCAGAATCTGCAATGGTCTAATCAATGTGCTGTCTTATAGGGTTTCTATTATACTGTCTGCACCTAGACATACACCCTGTATTTAATAAGGAGGTCTCACTGATGTGAGATCTCTAGTAAAGGGAAAACCGAGTACAACAGGCGAAACAGATTAATGGCATTAGAACCGGTATGGCTCATCAATTTGTGTGTTTGCTGTCAAATTTAAGAACTGAGCACGCTCACAGCATCAAAATCAGCGCTTGTGGCTAAAGCCTGCCTCCTACTGGCATGTGTATAGAGGACTCCTTTTCCCTGAGTACCCTAATGCATCTTTCAGGAGGAGAGGGGGAGAGAGGGAATCGATGGAGGACACAAGGGAATCCAGACGTTAGTTTATGGGCTGCAGACATAGCAGGGAGGGGGAGGAGGGCGGGGGTTACAGAGACAGAAATAAAGGAGCCTGAAATAACAAAGAGGGCTTTGGTAGATCATCTCCTTCAGAAAGATGCTGACTTGTTTCATTTTTTGTATTTTCTTTTTAGATGATTAAGTTGGTCTTTTATTTGACAACATTGGTCCATGTTTGAAAAATTACACCCAGAAAATAGTAGACTGCAGAAGCTATTTATAGTCTACATCAAATAACAAATCTAAGTTTATCTTTTACTTTATTTAATACGTTTAAGCTTAGACAGTCCATTGTTAAGAATCTGGACCGAAACACGAGGTTTGCCAATGACAGTAAATGAAAACAAGGAAAAAAACAACTGTGTTTAGACAGTTTTTTGTTTTTTTTTTTGTATTGTGACTGACGTTTTGAGAATGAGCACCAGTCACACTGATATTTCCTGGGAGTGTGACAGGAGAGTGGTTTATTCAGGATGTCAGACTTGACCCCTGTCAACCTCAACAGTTTAATCTGCAGGATAACAGCTGAGACGCACCACGTCTGGAGTTTCCTCTAAAGC